AAATTTGAGTATGAAATTAGTATCAACTATTTGAAATCTTGAGAAATATATGGTTGTGGATAAGTTTTGTGATAAAAGATGAGAATACTAGAAACTCTTATGAGTGGGTTGGAAATGATGCATGATTGGTACTTTGACAAAAGATTAAGAAGAAATGGTATTTTATTCAATTAATGAGCCAAAGGGATTGTTAAGTGTAAAAGTTTAAATTTCAAATTTCCTATAACTAAATTTTAATAGTAGTAATGTTAGGAAGAAATAATTGGATTTATAGAAATTTTATTAAACAAAGAAAATCCTTATTTAATTTATAGGGTATTTAGAGGATGAAAAATTGGATCGACAGTGAGAGGTGAATTTTTTAAATTTTTAAAATTTCAGTTAAGTGAATAGTATCCCAAGTAATATATCAATGAGATTATTTTTATTAAAATATTATGTTGTTATGTAAATTATTTTTATTTTTATTGAAATATTATGTTGTTATGTAAATTATTTTCAATAACAGTTATGATGAGTTTTGAATATTTTGCTAATTAAATTAGTTTAGCTTAAAATTATAAGGTGGTGGTGAAGTTCATTTAATTGTGGCATTTAGATGTTTTATTTTCCGTAAAATGTATTTTTAAATGGATGAATTCATTTCATTAGCTTCGGTAATTTTAGTTAATCAATAAATGCCAGTTTGGATTTTATTTATGAAATTTCATTCCACCAAATATTGGATTGATATAGAGAATGATTCATGCAAGTTTAACATTGAAAATGAAAAAAGTCCTTTTAATATTAATTATTTTCTCGCATGTTTGAAATTGAATTTGAAAGGGACTTTATACAGAACACTAGTTGCTAACGGCAGTCCCATTAGCTCTTAGCGAGCCATGGTCAATGACTAGCTAGTTTGATTTTCGTAAGCTTTGTTTTCACATTTGTTATTCGTGAGTTTTGCACATGCATTTGTTTTCGTGGCTTCAAGCCACGTTTGTTAGTATTACCCTCGTATACTGTGTGTTCACGTTTATTTCGTGATTTCGACTGTGTTTGGTTACTTATCATCGTGGACTGTATATCCATGTTTGTATTCTTAGCATAAGTCACGTTTGATTATTTATGCTCATGAACTGTGTGTCCACGTTTGTTTGTTGTTTTGATAAGTTCCTAAAATTGTGAATTTGATTATTTGATGATTTTATATTCTATTGATTTTTATTTAGTAAATTATTTACAAACATTTATTTCATTTATGTGCTTTCTTGAAATCAAGTGATAATAATATTTGTTATGATATTTCAATGATTTAAGATTTTATTTAAAATTTTGTAGAGCCATTTTATTCTGAAGTTTATTGAATTTTTATGGAAGAAGTTGTCTCTTTAATTACATAATTATTTTGAACTTTCTTGTTTATTTATGACCAATTATTTATTGTTGGGACGTTATTCACTGAAAACTTATTTTTGATCTCAAATTTATTAGCTAACGCTAATCCCACCATCGACCTCTAAAGGGTAATATAGCTACATTGGGTAAAAACTTTATTTCGTACGGTCACTTTTTTGATATAAATCTTTAAGTCGTATGTATTTTTGATTTAAAAGAAAAATTAGTTGATTCACATAGATTGTTATTAGGATTTTATTTTATTTATATACTGTTGTTGGCTAGAAGGAGTTAAGCTCTTGATTGATACTGTTTTTTTGAAAAATTTTGTTGTAAAATTTTCGAGAGATCCTATTTACAGGAGAAGTTTTGTCAAAATTTTTATAAAAAAATGTTAAAATCTTGTTACGACAATTAATATTAAAAGTGTTAGAATTTTTATATAATTTAATTATTTTTAAAACGGAAGGAGGTTTCATTTTAAGGTTTATGGGAATGCGTGATATAGTTCACACCTATATTGGTTACCCTTTATATTTGAGGTGTGACAATTACATTCTAAAATAAATAGTAGGCCCTATTATTACTGTTCGTTGAATTTTTTTTATATTTTACTATATATAAGATAAGATTTTTAATTGTTTAATTTGTTATCTAATACTATAATAATAGTCTTATAAAATATGAAATTTTGACTACTGCAATTTGATCCAATAATTTTATGTTACTGGAAATATGGAAGTAGGGAGTAAACGGGGGAAAAGGGATGCCGAAGATGATATTCAACAACAAAATAGAAAATAAAAAAATTTAGCAATGGATCAATTATTGATCTGAATCGAGATGCACGTTCTTGACCGTAATAAAATAACAAGGGTTATCTAAATTCCAATGTCGGGTCAAAAAAAGAATATATATATATATATATATATAGTAGTTAATTTTTGAATTAACTTTACGAGTTTAATATTTTTATATTTTCAGTTTATAAATTATATTAACTCACTCATAAATTTAGATTAGATATAAATTCAGTTAAACTCACGAGTTTATTTCTAAGTTTACATTTTTATATTTTTAACTTACAAAATTATGTCAATTAATTTATAAATTCAAATCAAATGTAAGTTTGGTTAAACTTATTAAGCTTGTCAATTTTTTTTTTTGAGTTGAGTGAGTTAAATATATATTATTAAAAATTCAGTTCATAAAAGTTATATGACATGGTTCCAAAAAAAACTTAAAATACAAAAAATACTATTAATAAAAAACAAAAATATCAAAAATAAGTTTTCTTATTTTAAAATTTTTATGTCTTGTATATGATAATTTATCATTTTATATGAGTTTAATTTCAATAATTTATATTTTTAATATATTAAATTAAATTACAATCATATTTGAATGAATATTTATTAATAGAGGTAAATTCTTACAAGTTTACGATTTGAGTGTATATTCCTATCAAAAGTTAAACTCGCAAGTTTAACAACCTTCTATATATATATATATATATATATATTTGCCTCCCAATGATTTTGTATAATTTTTATAGAATGGGAGTCAGCGCGCCAAAAATGGCTGGTTGGATTAAAAAAATAATTCCATATAAAAGATGAGTCAATTATCTCGTCTTGTGTGACCCGTGATCGATTCATTAAAAAAAGGTCTCGTTTTCTTCATTAATTTATCATTTTTATATTATTAAAAAAATAATTATGTAAAATATAATGCACGTTTATATTTGCAGTTATTTTTCCATCCTGTCAAAAAGTGTGATCAACCTACATGCCATAAAATTGACACGTATTACTGGCTCCATGTTTATTATTATATTATAAGTTCTATGGTTTCCCCACACGAGATCAACATGGATACCTAATTCAATTATAAATTCTTGTTATGACAAGACTCAATTACCTAACTTTATATATTTAATATATTCTTATTCAACTAAATTAAAACCAGTATTAATAAAAAATTTTGTCATAAAATAAATAATATATAAATACTTTACATATCTTGATTTAATTAAAAATACAATTTTTATAAATATAAAATTACGTATATAATTTTTTTATGACTGCTCCATCATTGAAACCAAAATAATAAAGGAACCCAAAGCTGATTATTATTAATTAAAGGAAAACACAATTATTAATCTGATAGTTTTATTAAGTTTTGTTTTTTAGTTTTATAATTTTTTAATATTTTCAATCCTTATAATCTCAATAAGATTAGGCAACGTTTATTACTCCTTATAGTTTTAATATTTTCAATGTTTTTTGTCATTATAAAAATTGAGAGCACCAACAAAGATATAAAAATTAAAAGTAAAATTGGATAAAACTGCAAACAACAATAATTATATTTTCCCTTGATTTAAAAAAGTTTACCGAGTTTTCTTAGGCCACCTGCGTCAAGTTCATTGAGGAACATTGACGGTTCTTATAGGGCCCAAATTGATGTTAGAACTCAAAGGGAGAGGAAAACAAAGAGTTCAGCTCTATTAAATTCTACCTAAATTTGATATTCATAGCGTGGCAAGGTAAGGGGGGAAACTATTGTTAAACAGCAATTTATTATAAAAGTAAAAACTGCTTCCTGTACTGCTTTCAAGCATGGCTGCTTCCTCCATCATTGTTTGCCATGTTATCCCTGAGAAATCATACATTATTTTGGGGGCCCCAAAAAAAACTGTATTTGGACTTAGGGATGGTAAAAAAAGAAACTAATGGAAACCCCCCAAGAACACGCAAATTTCAAACCCGTCTTCACAGGCAATTTTAATCCCCGGAAGGCCGAGACCCAAAGAAGGATTGCAGCATGGATTAGAACATAAGACTTACCAGTGGAGTTGTATAATGTGGAATTGCTGAGATGCATTGGCAATATGGTTGGTTGAACTTCAAAAATTAATTTATCAACCTCAATTTCGGATATGGGTGGTTTTGCCAGAAAGTGTAGAACTAGATCTGAGTCAACTATTGTTACCATCGTTTACTCACTTTGGTGAGGACATTAAAATTGGGTATGAAGGACTGCTGCACCTTGTGTGTTTTCATGGCGACAAATATGTACATCACAAAGATATTTGCCCAGAGATAGCTAATGTTGTGGAGATAAAGAAAGTCGATAATGAGGAACAGGGTGGTGAGGTTAACCACGTTGAGCCGGCAATCACAGAAAGGGGTGGTCAAAAAACAAGGATGAGGCCTCCGTGGGCAAGATTGCACCAGTGATGGAAAAAGCTAGAGAAGGGGAGAGCACGGCAGCCGGATGTGGTTACCGGCCAAAGATGCTGGTTGAGCAACAGCTACACTGGAGATATGGAGGCACGGATTTGAAGGGATTGGGGGTGCGAGATTGAAGGATTTAGAGAGAGCAGGAGGCGAGAAAAAAGGGGTGCTAATGAGGCAAGTTGAAAAATAAGAGGCGATCATGGAGGACAAAATCATAGGAATGAAGGAGGCCAGATTTTTGGCAAGGAAGTCAATAAAAATAATAAATCCGAGTAGGTCCCAGTGGGTGCAACATAATAAACATGTCTTCACAGGCAATTCCCTGTCTATTGGTTTGTGCTTTATGATTTTGGTCAGAAGTTCTATACAAGAACTCTCTACAAGCAAATATAATAAAATACATACTTTGATATGTCTGTTAAAAGCGAAGATCAAAATAGAGAATGGAGCTTTTGAACCAGTTTCTGACCGTTTCCGTTCCCAGAAACCAAAACAGATACTCGAGTTACTTCACCTTTAGTACTAGAACATTCCCCAAGGTCAATGATGGAACAGAAATTTTTTTTATTAGTTTGGATTTCATCCAATAGTTAACCAATTTGTATTACAACCTCGGTCATCTAAGAATAGCATTGGCATTTGATCTCTTATGGTAAGCACCTGTTGGAGACTGCACTATAAAATATTAAAATCAACTTAATAAGGTTGCTCACCGTGAAGCGTAATCCCTACAGAGAAAAAATGCACCTCTGGCTCTAGGACTTTCCATAACACAATAATCGACCGCTCCCAAGAAGAGAAACCTGCCTCCTGTTACTCTTCTGGTCCCAACTTGGTGAAAGACATTTTTCTGGATCAAATTCATGGGGTGTAACCTTGGGTTTCTATCTCAAAGTATCATGCCCTAGACGAGAGCGCAATAGAACAGTCATCAGGTCTTCTGATCGCTGTCTCCTAGACAACCATGCCTGAATCATTTTCTCGACTTTAGGCTCTGGCAGGAAGCCTTTCTCCATCATCTCTAAATAATATTTGTAGGCATGCTCCATTTTTCCATTAAAAAACAAGCCGTGAATCAGTGCAGTATAAGAGCTACGATCAGGGTTGAAACCATGTTCCCTCATCTCACTCCACAACTTAAAGGCGACATAAAGCTGGCGCCATTGGCAAAACCTCCTTATCAACATTATGTAAGTCTCAGTGGTTGGGTCACAACCCACCTCTCTCATGTTGATCCAAAGCTTAATTACCTCCTCTTTGGTCCTTAAAATACGGAACAAAGCATGATAAGTCTGAATTGTAGGTGACAGGCCCCTTCCGACCATCTCATCTAAAATTACTTTCGCGTCTTCAATTAAGCAAGCTTTGCAAAGAGCCTTGATCAATGAACTGTATGCGGTGACAGTTGGAGCAATTCCATCATCTTCCATAGTTCTCATAAGGTTGACAGCTTCTTTCACCAACTTACCCTTAGCGAGAGCAAAAATGACTGAATTATAAACCTTCATATTTGGAGTAATCTTCATTTGCTTCATATGGTCAAACAGTTTGAGAACCTTACTAAGTTTAGAAGCTTTTGAATAGCAAGATATGATACAGGCATACGAGACAGCATCATATTTGATTCCTCTCCTACTCATCTCCTGCCAAATTCTCTGCGCATGAAAAGTGCTAACAATCACATTACACCATCCATCAAGGATAATATTAAAGCTTTTGGTAGTAAATGGAAATACATTTTAAGGTGGAAGAATAGGTGCTCAGCATCTAGCACATTCTTGTATTCGCAGAGGGCAGAAAGAAGGCTAAGAAATTCCTCTAGTCCGACTTGAAAGTTAAATCGTTTATAAGCACAAAATGTATTTATAGCCATCCCAATATCATGCACAGCACAGTATTGTCTAATCATAATCAGGAGAGTTTGAGGAGTGACAAGAGATGGGCCCGATTTACCACTTCTTGTCTCCTCTATCAATGCCCAAGCAATATCAAACTTTCTCATTTTGCCAAGGATAGATATCATAGAATGGTACTCACGAACTGAACGAGCATAACCTGGCTGCTTGCCAGCCCACAAGAAAAGGGTGAAAGCTGCTTCCCAATCATTGTGAATTATTGAAAGGATCTCCGTAACCAACTCAGATGATGGTGTGATATTGCACTGCTCAAGCTTGTATTTAATTTCAGATAGTCTGCGCCCTGGGTTATGTATTATATTCAAGATGGTTTTCACATTTTCAGCAAGATCATCCCTACTGTGGCCAACACAGGTATCATTCCTTTCATTATCTCTGTCTTCATCCTTATCTTCCTCCTTCTCATCACCATCATCCAATTGGGTTTAGGGGAATTGTTTGACCACCCAAAGTTTCTGGTTGGAGATGGAGAACAAGAGAAAAGAACCGAGGAGCCCAACTTTGTTGGAGTTGTAGGGAGTCAGACTCTGAAGGGTAAGGGGAATTAAAAGGAGAAGTCAGGAGCTGCTCCACTATATGGTTGAAACTAACAGGAAGTAAGTTTTGATAAATGCATGGCACAACAAGAGAGAAAACAGAAAGCTTAGATCTGATTGCGATCATGTGTGGTAGAAATTAGAAATGCAATGATGACTGCTGTATATTAAAATAGGAACATGATAATCAAAGAGGCTCTGCCATAATCAATGGACTGCACAGATAGATCACTGCTTTCTTCATTTTTAAAACTGAAGGGGACGATGTATGGGAGAATGACCAAAAGAAATGCAAACCAAATTGATATCATGGAGCGCAAAATGTGCACGTACTGCACACCTTGGTGCACCCTAGAATAAAATTTTTAAATGCTTCGCAGAAACTCAAACATGTTGACAGAGTCAGCAGCGTCAGCTGCTTGCTAGTTGTTACAGAGGTGGAGTCTGCAAACACATTGCAAATGAATGAACGGACATTAGCAACATCAAAGCAGCATGCCCAAGTTGAACGAGCCAGCCAACAAGCCAGCGTTGAAAAGAGGGGGAAATACCAATAAAGGGCAAATTTTCTTTTTAAGTTAAAAAGCTTTGCATTTAAGAGGACAACAATCACAACTTTCTAACAGTTGAAGTGAAGGGAAGGGGGGAGGATATAATTTTGCATTCAAGTTCTCAAGAGAACAGAAAAAATCCATTTTTACCAGATAGCTTGTAAGGCTAAGACATTAAAAATAATAACTACACATACAAATATTAAATTAAATTAAATTACTATAAATACGGTAGCCATAGGCGGGCCTATACTGAAATCTTAGAAATGTGCATAGTTGATCTAATAACATGTTAATTTTTGTTCCAGATACCTTGACACAACTCGATCCAAGTCATTTACAAGATCATACATCACAAATGCCTTGAGAATTTTCTAAATTGATTATAATATAAAGAGATTAATTAACAGAATGCCAGTGTACAAGAAAACCAACTTTGCATAACACGATCCAAAGTATACAAGTCGCTAGTAATCAAAGTGAAAAGGGCAGAAGTATAATAGCCAATTACGCACCATTCAAGCAGAAACTAGAAAAAGGGGGAAAAAATTACTCAATATGTAAATATTCCCAAATTCAAAAGCATCAATATTCATGCGACCAGATTCGAAGCCAAATTAAAATGAAAAATTTAAAAGAAAGCAAGATCAACCATGAAGGGAACAGATTACGCGGGTAACAAATTCAAATCTAGATTCAAAGCCAGGTTCAATCTCACCGGATTTTGGGAGTAGAAAAAGCCCTAAGGTTCGAACCTTTTTCTCTATTTGCCCGAGAACAACCACGTGAGGCTGACAACGGTGGACGGCGGCTGACAAAGCGTGGAATGCTCGTTCGGGGAAGAAAATGTGGATCCGCTCCTTAGATTTTTTGGGACAGAAGTATCCAGTTCTCAACCAGAAAAACAGGGTTAGACCGGCCCAGTTCTCAACCCGAAGTCTGTTCTGAAATAGCATTAGGCTAGATTTTTTAGTCTGAAGAATGGTTCTGTCCGAAAAGGCCCAACACCCAGATCGAGTTGGACTTAGTCTATCGAGTTATCAGATTGGTCCACCAGACACTCTCTCCAAAATCAAACCCAGAGAAAATGATGGAATGAGCTAAGACAGGAAAGCACGATGTACTTCAGAATCAGATAAAGGGTCGGGTTTATTTAGTATGCTATTCTTTTAAAAAAATTCATTTAATCAAGTTTGATCTTAACACTTTTAGATTTTAAGTTTATTGAAGAGACCTGAATATTAAAATTTTTAAAAATATCTTTTTAATTTTTTTGAACTAGTTTAAATTTTTAAATAATTATATTCACATAAAATATTATTTTAAATTTAAAAAATAAAATAAAAAATAATAATTTATTAACTTTGTATTTAAATAGTTCAATTATTTTTTCTTATATTATGTATAATTTATTTATGAATGTTTCTTTACTTATAAATTAATTCTTGGTTAGTCTAAATATTACCTTTATCATAATCATATATAAATATTTTATACATGTTAATTAAATTATATAATTTTAATTATGATCAATGTAATCTCATTCAATCATGGTTAAAATTAACAAACTTAAAATTATTGTCTCGAATCAATTAAAAGCTTTTAATAACTTTTAAGTAAGTTATATTTTCATTTTTAAGAATATGAAAAAATAATTATCATTATATTACAGAAAATAAAATTATGTAATTATGATAAAATATTATTTTTAGAATTAGTTTTTTTAATTTTTATATTATTTAATCCTTACGTACAAAGAGTTTTTACTCTAATTTATGTTTTATTTTTAACCAAATTTAGTATGAAATAATAACCAAACAATTATTCAATAATATTTTTTTTATTTTTCATGTTTATCTAATAGTAAAATCAAGAATTTGTACATATCTGAATTTATAAAAAAATATATAATATATTTTTTAAATACACAAATGATATATAGGATTTAAAGTTCTTTTAAAAAATTGAGTTTTAAGTATAAAAAATAAATATTAAAATTATTTTTAAATATTTTATTAATTAAAAAAGAAAATATGAAAATAAATATTTTTTAAGAACTATAATAATACATTTAAATATATAGTATTTAGTATAAATGATATAAAATTTAAAAATTAATTAATATTTTATTATATTTTATATATTTGAAAAAATTTATTTTTTATTAGGCTTGGTTCAATATTAAAAAATTAATATTTTTACATTTAGTTTTAAATTTTTTAAGTAGGCTGGGTTACCCATAAAACTTGACCTAAATCAGCGGCTACAAATTTAATCGGAGGAGGAGGAGGGAAGCAAAGATCTCTCAAGAGTCACAAAGAAGATCCCACATCTGGACTGAGAAACCATGAAGCATTTCCTTTTTCTAAGCAAGTTCTACAATTTATAGCTACAAACATCGTGCCGTCAAGTGCGGTGTTTAAGCCAAGAGGAGAGAACGACCAGAGAAAATGGCAGATCAAGAGCTAGCTGCAAGGTTGACATTGACCAGGCTAAAAGGCAGAGGAGAGAAAGAGACCAAGTTAGACGAAACCACGAACTGCATCGAGAGAGTGGAGTGGAGGAGGAGTGAAGAGCTACGGTGACCGATTGTCCCGAGCAGGCTTGCTAAATTGATGGACCGAATCTATATGGAGGCTTTGTTGGGCCTCAGATACTAATCTTGGGCTAAGGGCTTACCTTGAAGGAAGTTGTGGTTTATTGAGGAGGAAATGCGACGTGGGAAAGTGTGAATTATTTTGTGAAAACCGTCTCCCTCTGCTGTTTCTCTTCTCTCTGATATTTCTTCTCTGTTCCTTCTGCAATTTCTCTTGTATCTGGTTCAACACCTTATGACCAAACCCTCTTAACAGCAATGAGAAGTATTTCCATAGCATAATTTTCAGTACCTGTTCTTATTGATTTATTTGAGCAAGAGATTGTGACACCGATCTAAACTTTAGAGATGCCCAAACCATGCTCCACACATGAGAAATCAAAGATAAGAGAAGGAGGGAGGCTATGTGGAAGAAGGAAGGGCGGGAGGATAAAGGATACTGGACAAATTCACAAATCGGAGGAGGAAGGATATTGAAGTGAAGGAGAAGATCAAGCAAGGACACCCTGGAGAGCGGCGAACTCAGTAAACAATTGATAAAATTAAAAGAAATAAGATAAAACATATACAAATTTTTATAAGTATAATTTAAAAAACATATAAAATTAGTTATAAATATAATTATCATCGGGTCTGACCTGTACAATTAACCCAATCTAGATAGTCTGGTTCAGTGTTCGGGTAAATTTTTTTTGGCTCAAAACTAGACTAGGTTGGGTCTAATTGGACTGGTTGATTGGATTTTAGACTTTTATGCATAGCCCTAAGGGGGGTTATGATTAATTTTTTTTCCTTCTTTTATACCAACTCTTCTATAACAATTATCAATTAGTGTAAAAAAATTTTCCATGTCATAAGATTTTTTATAAGGATTTTATTTAAACGTTTGGTCTGTTGGCTATATTAAAGATACTTTGTAAATTAAATTAGTTCGAAAACACCATCTCAACTCTATTGTTTTTAGATGTGATTCCCAGCCCTCTTTTCATCACATTTTTTCGTAATTGTCCCTAATCTAGAGCCATTTGATTTGGATTCTTGTCCATTTGTTCTCCATAGATCACTAACAGTGGTCTTATCTCATGAATTCTATGGGTATCTGAATTTTTGTATTTCGGAATCAGGAAATACAAACTTTGAAATGCATTTATCTTCTAATTCACATGATTTGGTTTAGTGGAAATCGGGCTTTACATTAAGGGAAGATACTCCAATTGGACAAATTATTTAAAGCTTCCAGAAACAATACCAATTCCTCTCAAGCGCATATAGTTGAATAACTAGAGGAAAAATAACAAGAAATTCACATTCCACAAAAAACAATGGAGATAAAAAATCTTTACCTCAACCTCAAAGTCATAATCAATTTTATTTCCCCTTTAGGGAAATAAGATTCATTCTTTTTAAGAAGAGCAAAAGAACTTATTGTGATGTTCTCCTGTCAATTAATGGAGAAAGATGAATGGAACTGCTCATTTTGTAGATCCGAAGTCACTACTCCTCATCTTTTCTTGTCCTATTGCTTTCGCCTAGTTTTACTTTGGATTTCGAACTTTGTTCAGGCTCATTCTAGAGATATGCCAAGTTTAGAGATTTTGAATGTCCTCCACAATAAAAGAATCTTCTTTAATTCCATACAAAATCATCTCATTGAACAAGATATGTTTAGTCTTTTACAGAGTTTTCATAGTTGGAGCATAAAGTTCGACGATCGCAATATATACATATATACATACATACATACATACATACATACATACATATATATATATATATATAACCAACTTCTAGTTCTTCTTGTCATTTTGTTAATCGGAGTATAATTCCCTCTTTGTAGACTTTCTTTTACTTTTATTAATATTATTTCCTTTTTTATAAAAAAAGATGATACTTTTAAATTCATTTTTATTTCTTTTCTCATTTTCGTTCTTTTTTAGATAACCATTCCTTCAAAAAAAAAAAAACACCAAATTAAACGTGACATTATCCTTGCATCTACGTGTCCATGAAAGGCCTCGCCGTCGCCGATGCATCTGGCCATCTTCTACGGCGCACCAATCTCACCGCTGCAATATGGGGGGTCTTGAGAATCGGTATTATATTGTGGCCTCCATCAACCTTAGGTGTAGTTCTAGCTTCAAGTGGACAAGCAGGGCGTGGAGTTCAAGGCCATCGTCGTCGCCAATGGCTTGAATCTCGGAGCATCTCTCGCCATGATGACGTTGTAGCCGATGGCTTGAAGCTCGGAAAATCTCTCCTCCAGCATCTTCGGTTCCTTGACTTCCTTCTACGTCCTCCTTCTCCCTCCATGATGACAAGGTGGCCCAACTGCTGTACTGTGTGTGACTCGGCATTGTGTTTGGAGAAGAAGACAGCATATTGACGATCTATTTTTTCGCTGGAGATGTAACGAGAATGAATGAAACCTTATACAAAATCCAACGAGGCACCCCCTGCATATTGCATTGATCTAAGGAGTAACTCCCATGCGTGACTACTCAAGACCAGCCTACTATGACGAGATCTCCAACTCCAACCAACCTCCTGCACGCCAAGCCGTCAAGTTCTTGACGGCTGCCACTATTGGAGTTATGCTCTTGCTCTTGTCGGCCTTGACACTCATCGGAACTATTATAGCCTTGATCTTGGCAGCTTTTGGTTCTGTTCAGTCCTATCTTGGTCCCTGCAGTTAATGGCTGCTTCTGGGTTCGGTTCTCCGGGGGCGTCGCCGCCGCCATAGCTGCATTGCCGTGGATATACGAAGAGAGGGAGGGAAGGAAGGAGAGAGGAATACTTTTTCATATTATAAAAAATAGTAAAACCCCTTTAAAATATTAAAATATTCATATGTGGTCTCACATAATATACAATTAAGGGCATTGGATAACAAATTTTTAACATTTAAGAACAAAATTCATTCACAGTTAAATTTAAAATATTCAATAACCTTTTAAATAAAATTAAAGGATAAAAATAATTCTTAACTTTTTAAAAAAATATTATAGTGAGAAATTGTCTTAAAAGATAACGAGATATCTAAACTCTCCATTGTTATTTACATTCCACCCTCAAAAAAAATAATGAGAGGTTCATTAAACAAACTACAATAGGCCACGGTTTATATTTATAAATTTATATATTATTTTTTAAAATAGAAGAAAAAGAAGAAGATTGCCTTCATTTATTTAAAATCTTGAATACACCACCATCACTAGCTACTAGCAAAATTAAAGTCTGGCATAATGAGAAAGGGTACGTATGAGATAGAAAATAACAATAGCTTAGATAAGTTGTGCAATAATTTAGTCCAGACTTGCCAATATTGGGGGACACATCTCTAATAATCCCTAATGCACGAACTTTAATTATAGATCAAAATGACCCAATCAAAATATCTTCAATGCTAAAAACCTTTTAGCTCGAAAAAAATAAAATTTTAAATGTACACATAAAGGATTTAAGGTAAGTTATCTACCTAAATGTTAAGGCTATTACCATTAGATGTTTTTTTTTTTTCGCATTTACATATTTCTTTACTAACATAACATGAACTCGAATCACATTGAATTTTACCCTTCAGTTTAGGAGAAAAAATTTGGCACCCCATAAAAAAATTTTAGATCTATCCCTACATCAATGGTTGGAGAGGGTATAATATTTTGTCGAAATTCGAAAATAACTTTCTATCACTGTCACCTCCAGATAGAAATCATGAAGAAGGATGATTTGAAAGTTAAAACCACAAAGAAAGATTGCTTTGTATGACCTTTCTTCAAGCACACAATTCTGTGTCAAATGAAAGAAGGAAGGATAAACTGCTATTACAAAGGAGAATCTTTCACTTTCAGGAACAAAAATGCTGTGGCATATGTTTTGTTGTGTTCATCGGTTATGAAGACTACATGAACCAATAGAAATGAATCAGCCCTCTAGAGTTGTGAATATGATAATTTGTGAAACTAATTAATTACAAATAAAAAAATAATGAACTATATTCTCCCATTATTCTTAAAAATGTAAACTCATCCTATATCAATTCAGCCTGATGTCATTTCTAATTAACATGGAATGACAATATTTCACCTCAAAACTTTGTGATCAAACTCTCAAGCCCCAAGATTTAGAATGAAACTGGTTTCATTACACCGATGATACAGCTTCAATAGCGCTACCCAAGGGCCATGCTGCTTCAACCAGAGCGCCATGATATTTAACTTTCTTCACCAACGTAATCTCCTGCATTGGATCTAGGCCTGACATGCCAATAAAAGGAAACCAATCAATTCAAAAAGACAAAACCACAAGTCAAATTTTGCAGGGAAGCATCACTACCAAACTACGTGCATAACTACTTCACATTTAGTTCAAACCTACCAAACCCGTCAACAAGCAATGTATACTGATATACAAGATCCATGCATAGATATGGAAGGTTCCCCTCCTCGACATGTTTATAAGCAGATTTGGCATCTTGAAGTTTTGTTTCACAAGCTTGCTTGGCAGCTTCCTCAAAATTCACAGGACGAATTTTGGCGGTTGGTGATTCTGAATCAACAAAGCCCGCCTATGAATAAAAAATGTAATTAGCATGGGAATACAGCAACACTAAAGATGACATAACTTTGGCATTAGTTCAAAATCTGCAACAAAATACATATTGAAAAAAAAAAAAAAAAACCTCAGCAGCCCGGTCAAAGAAGAACGAGGCAACAAAAAGATTTTCCTGTCCATCCCCTCCTCCACCATTCCATATGCCACCAAAAGTGCACTTCATGTGTGTACAACTTGACTCGTTAACTTTGAGAGCCTTGAGAGCTGTGCTCTTGCATTCACTCAAGCTGGCACCAGAAGGGTAGGCCGAGGCCTTAAACGACTTTCCTCCATATTTGTAAGACCCTAGGAGGAACGAGAAGTCCATGTTATTTGCATTATTATGCTACATGAAAGGTATTTTAAAATTTCTGCGCATTAACGTAAGATATCTTTTCTGTCTAAAGTCAATTAAAGATTAACACTTGGTTTGAATGGGGAGAGAAATAGGGAGGAGAGAGAACTTCCAAAAATAGTAAACCCTCCAAGTATTCTCTGCTCCCTATTTTCCTCTCACTTTTTCCTCCATCGAAACCAAGCCTAAATGTGGGGGGAGGGGAGGGGAATGCAACTTGGCAACAAAACCCAAGAGTGCAGAAAGGAGAAACTATATTTACCATCATAGCCAGCTAAGATACAAGGGTTGTCAGAATCACCAGAAACCTTCAAAATCTCTGCACGAGCTGCTAGTAAACCATACCGCAAGTAGCTGAAAGGCAAGATGTTAAAACCTATTAGCCATGGAAGATGCGTATCAGTGAATATGTATGCAACCAGTATATCATTAGTTATACAGCGTAGTATCGTAGTTAATGATAAAGACTAGAAAGTGGAATTAGCCAGGTCCATGACTCAATACGCTCACAAGTTACATGCCATAACAATTCACAGGGGCTAATTGAGAGTGAAATTAAAACCTGTGAACATAGAGGTAATATTTCCTGCCCCTTAGGAACATCTCCTTGACGTATGGATCCTCCCCATCCAGTGATTTAGGAGCCTTGTCAGCATCTGTCTCTGAGATGGCATATGCCATTTGAACAGATCCACCTCCAAGATCAACCACTCCAACTGTCTTCGAATAATCTTTTCCCAGGTTTCCCAACAGATAGTTGATGGTAACCTGAAACATAAACATGGCAACTTAAATAAATACTGCATCTGCTCATCAGAGGACAGAACACAAAGATCCTAATTTCAATTCAACTTGCAGTTCATATTAATTCTTTTAACATTCTTGGTATCATGCAAGCTTTCTGTTACAGAGTGAGACTTCAGAGGCTCAGAAAAGACATAGGAAAATTTACCACACTTATCAACTATATTAATAAGTATCAGGCAGTAAGATGGATTAATTTTTCAATAGCAAGCAGGAAATAAAGAAGCTAGTGGGCAACACTCATAATGTTTTTAACTCAATACACCATTAACGAGTCATGGACCTCCTAAGTAAAATGTCATATATCTACACTCTACAGGCATGGACTATTCTCTTGCATGAAAGTACTCAATGAACCTAGTGGACAATAAAATTAGAAGAAAAAAGATAAAGAGGGTAATGAAAGAATTTTAGCTATCTGGTGGAGAATTAATTTATTTACATGTTTAGTTATTTTGGTTTTGCTTAATAAATGATAGAGTACAATGGCGTCTTGCAATCCATGTAGCCGACCCCACCTAGTGGGATAAAGGCTTGTTGTTGTTGTTGTTGTTGTTGTTTAGTTATTTTGGTTTTACTAATATTTTACCCACTGTAAGTTTTATTTACTACTATTACAAATAGGATTATTCTAGGAATTAGGTTCATTTTATTTATTAATAATAATATCCCCAAGTTAGTGGGATAGCCTAGGATCAGATTTATATAAGAATAACCCTAGAGTCCTTTAGCCTTCATAGAATAATATTCTATCGCTTCTGCTCTCTGTTTCTCACTCACCGTCCTATCTCAAATTACTTATCATTCCTTCGTGACCATAAAACATTGTTTAACCCCATTCCTATCACGCACGCCCTCTTGAACTCCATTGCGCACTATTCAAACCACGAAAACACCAGAAAATCATAAAACATCCAGAAAACCAAGCAAGAGATTTAACATTGTGATCTACGTTAGTTGAAGATTCTGTTCTCTTCATAATGAATTCATAGTAAATAAAATAAGGTTCTTGTTGGAATTGATGACTTAAAAGCTTAGTCGACAGCCAACAAGACTACAATTTGATTACACTAGCACACTAAGAAATCTTGAAACTAATCTAGCAAACTTAACAAATGACAAACAAATGAAGTTACTCCCCTATTGATCTTAATTTGAAGACAATGAGAGCCAGTATGCCAGGGGAAGTTAACCGATCACTCAGGAATACAACACATTCTGTCACGTACGAGGTCTGAATCATACACACATAACACGCGCAGTTTTCAGATAAAATTTCTGTAAAACTAAGTTCATGCATCATACCCATTGAAAAGCACCTTCTTGGGTTCCATCCAGCACAGTAACTGCATCAGGCTCAGCTTTTAGAGTGCTCCTTTCCTGGAGCAAATCCCTGACCTTATAGAAAGTCAAAAGATCAAAAGTCAGAAGAGTGTATACAGCCGCTGAAGCATTCCGAATGTTAATATGGAGAATGGTTACCGCTTGCAAGATCCTGTCTGAAGCATCCCCTTCCAAAGCCCTCAAACCTGCAGTTGCCTGCATTAGCATAGAAATTAATTTTCATTCACAAACTCGCAAGTTAAACTAAGATATCCTAGGGCCGTAAATAACAGGTGTATGCCAAAGGGACCAGAAAAACACACCCCAACTCTAACAGGTGTCTTGGGGCGCAATTCGCGTGGAACAACACTTTCCGCCTTATCTAAAAGAGTGATCAGAGACTCGGCTGCCTGCCTTGGATCTTGGGCGTATGCGCTTAAACCCGGTTTAATCTGTAGCAGGAAAATTATCACGGTTAAAAGTAAAAAAGGGTAAGACTTGACATGAATGGTAAAATCCACAAAGCAGAAAAACAAAACCTAAATAAGATGTGTCACCTGCACGAAAAGCTCAAGATCTTTGCCAATGTAAACGAGATCTAAGTTCTGGTCAAAATGGAAGACATGGACACGGCTGCCAGAACTGCCAGCATCGAAGATGACGGCGTAAGAGTTGGGTGATTTGTGATTGGGGGACATTTTACGATGAGTGATAGCATAGTCTTCTATGGACTGGTTTGAAGAGCTAGCAGGCATTAAATAGAGCACAAAAGTAATGAGGAGGAGTGGAACTGAGACCACGAACAAAACGCCGCGAAACCTGTAGATCTTATCGGAGAAGGACTCCGAACGGCCGGGACGCTTGAGCATTTTGCCAGATTCGTTTTCGGATAGGTGCTGGTCAGGGGAATTAGACGGCGGAGAATTTCCAGCCTGACCTTCAAAAAGTTCAGCAGCAGACGGCGATCGATAACGGATCTGACCGTTGACAGTGGCAGGGGGGCCCTTCAACTGCTTGGTTTCTTGTAGAGACTCCAGCTCTGTGACTGGAAATTTTCCACCAACGATCTATCTCCGACAGAACTAAACGCAAATGCGAACCTGAAGATCGAGAAGCAACAAGTTCATGAAAACTGCGTGAATGTGATACTATTGGTTGTGTAGGCAATGAGTAAATAACCCTTGCGAAAGAACAAGAACGAGGAGGAGAAGAATCTGTCAATGTCTGTGTATGAAGTGAGATAAATGCTATTTGGGTGTTAGTATGTTTGTGTGTCTCAAAAATGGTCATAGATCGTAACCGTAATTTGGGAAAGAATGAAATGAAAGTGGAAGAATACCCGATTGGGCCTCCGAGTCGGACTCGGAGGAGGACAAAAAACGAGTCGTTCTGAAACTTTCAGCTTCCGCGCCGTCCTACGAGAAACGGAATGAACGTGCCAGAAACGGTTTTAAGGTGGGGGGAATTGGGGAAAAGTGCTTCCTAGCAGACTTGGCGTTTCAGCGTTTAAGTTTCAGCACTAGATTGAGTATACTCAACATAAAGTGCAATCAATTTTATGGCCACTTTTTCTAACCGTGTATGTTGATGATTATTTAATATTAAGTTGATGGGATTATGACGTGGAAAGCTAGCCTTACTGCTCAAGTATTTAACTTTTTCTATGTAGTTAGTATAGTTATATCTGAATTAGCGGAGGGAATGACGAGCCAAAAAACAAGTAGGAATGTAGGATCCAAATGCACTTTTGTGGGCCAATAAGGATTTTATAGAAATTTTTTTTATTACTCATAAATATTTTTTAATTAAAAGCAATCATATTTAATATAGAGTTAGATATTAAATGTAAGTATTTTTTTTATGAAAATTTAGATATTAATTTTTCATATTGTAAAAGACTATCTCTTTTCACTAGATCCAACCTCTATTAATTAAATGTAAAGAATTTTTTTATTATTATTAAAGATTCAAAGGAACTTTAATCATAAAAAATATGTAACTTTTTGTCTTTTTTTTTTTTACCCACAGTCTGTGAATCATTTTCACGAAACACTCCAAAATCTAATGCATATTCATTGACTTCTCTTTCTATATATGGATTTATTTTGTAAAATTAATCCTTTAATTTATATATAATTTAATTAATTTTTTATCATCTATTTTTATCTTTAAAATGTCCTTATACTATTGAAATGAAAGGTGCATTATTCAATTCATATTCAAGTTTAATATAATTTTACCGGTTTTATGATAGCTGTTGAGCCCAAGTCTCTAACGTAAACAAACTATAAATATTGATATTAAAAATTCAAATTAGAAAATTTAAATTAAAAAAGAATTATAAGAAATGGATAGTGAACTTTTTAAATTGAGTATTTACTGTAAAAATGTTCAGTAGCAAAGCAACGATTAAAATGCAAAAACCACGAGGTAATTAATTTTTTTTTTTTAAAAAGACGAGTGCTTTAGGTAAAGAATACTACTTTTGGTTGGCGCAGAGAGAGAGAATGCGACTTTTGGTTTTATCTTTTCGACGAGGTCAACCCAACCCAAGTTAAATGCACACTTGCTACTATACCAAATCCAACGTGCGTCGTCGCTGGAGATAATATTCTTGTGGTCTGGACGTGGAACTGGTCACCGTGTCTTGTGTCAAGCTTATATCTATGTCTTCCATGAGGTTCACAAAGCCACAAAATCTGTTCGACAGTTCAAGGATTCACTGGATGTAGGATCAATCCATATATTAACTGCGGCAGGAACACCAGAGAACTAGAGTAGGATATCGTGGCACTGTGTATAATTTTAGCAAAAAGTATAAGCAACACACAGAAAATTTTACAACGTTGTGCTTGGATGGAGGAGATTTTGGGTTTAGATTTTAAATTTAGCAAAATCTACCATTTGGATCTATGAGAAAATTTTATATTTTATTTGTATTTTTAAATATGTCATACAACTTAATTATTTAAAATACTTGCTATTTTAACCATTTCATCTCTTTCTGTTTCACTTTTCATTTTCATTGCTTTTGAATTTTAAAATTTTTATACAATCTAAAAAAAAATTAAATATATGAATATAAAATTTGAAATTTAAAATTTGAATATAAATTTACCAATCCAAACTTACCTCTTCTTAGTGCAAGTCATCTAGGAATTTAAAAAATACTACAAAAATACCTTCCTTTTCAAATCGTTTAACCCAATTCACTTATCCTGCAGGGAAAATGTTTCTTTTGGTTGTAATAGTTCTTATAAGGAAGCTATGCAGATAAACCCCTAATGCATATAAGAATGGTTGAGCTTTAAAGAAACATTAATTCCAAAATTCTCCGCGTAAATTCGACATCCCATTTTAATTATATTAGTTGTCATTGACTTTATTTTTTTTTAAATACAAGTTCACAAAAAATTGTATAAAGAGACTAAAATCAAGTCATGTCTAAGTTCAATAAGCTTTTAAAATTTTGTAGGAATTCATTAAAAATTGTAATATTAAAATTGTTTTGATATCAATGGTCATAGAAAATATGGACCAATTATGTCTTAAAGCAAGGCTTCATCTGTCACTTAAAATTGTTTAGTTCTCAAATAAGAACAACTCTCTTAACATGATTTTTTGAATTACCCTTGCTCCAAAGTCCATCAACTTCGTCTCTTCCTTTTAATGGACTTCAGCGCTCCTATCAAGCTTTATCACCCTTTTTGTTTAAAGGAATTTTGAATGAGAAAGATATAAACTTTTAGCATCCTAGATCAAAAGTCGAGTGTGGTTGTCAGCTTCAAACAATTTATTTGCTTACAATGAGAGCTAAATTAAATCTTGAAAAAAAATAATAAAACCCAAATCTCCTTAACCCTTCACTCCTTGTCAAGGAACTGTGAACTTTGAGTGTATTATACCTTTATCCGTTTGATTAAATTATATATTATCATACAACTTTTGCGTTTCATCTATCAATTAAAAATATAACTAAAAAAAAAGACACAAATTGATAATTAAGTCTCCTGAACTACAAAATATTATATCATTCACTATTTAATTTATAATAAATACGTTAAGCCACCTTTTTAAACCCATTCAAACATTTTTGAATGCAAGCCAGTGTGGCACTGCCACGTTTTGGCACACGGATGTCCTCCCCAATGCCTTCCAATTCCAAAGATATTTTTTTGGGTCGAGAAGAAAAGTAGCCGTTGCGAGGCCGGGAGGGTATTCTAACGGTCACTTTGTCATCTGCTTTCTGAAAACTATCCATTGTGCATTCCCAGTTCATAAAACAGTTTCGTCTGCATCAGTTTTCCTCAGCTCCTCCCTCGTGTTGATCAGAGAGGTTTATCTTACACCGCTCAAGGTGACTAAAGGATCCTTTTTCCCTTGCCGAGAAACGCAAATTCTTCTCACCTTGTTTGTTTAGATTTCAAACTTTTCAATTGCTGTCGACTTTGTTGTTTATCTCCCGCTGTATCAATTTCGAATCGCAGAGAGCAAGAGTTTTGATCTTTGTCATCGATAGCAAAAATGAACGACCTCATGACCAAATCCTTCACCAACTACGTGGATCTGAAAAAAGCCGCCTTGAAAGACGAAGTGGATCTGGAAGCCAATCTTCCTCCCTCTGGCGTGGAACTTAGCTCTTCAACGACTCACTTGGATACTGACATGGGTCTCTTCCTAGAAGAGGCCGAGAAGGTAAAAACGGAGATGGGGGATCTCCGTGACATTCTGAGCAAACTTCAGCAAGCGAACGAAGAAAGTAAATCCCTACACAAGCCTGAGGCTCTAAAATCCTTGAGGAACAGAATCAACGCTGATATCGTCTCTGTGCTCAAGATGGCTAGAACGATCCGGTCTCAATTGGAAGAGATGGACCGAGCCAATGTTGCCAATAGAAGGCTCTCTGGCCTTAAAGACGGCACGCCTGCCATTTACAGAACAAGAATTACGGTCACCAATGGCCTCCGCAAGAAACTGAAAGAGATAATGATGGAGTTTCAGGAACTGAGGCAGAAGATGATGGCGGAGCACAAAGAGACTGTGGGAAGATGCTATTTTACTATAACAGGGGAACACCCAGATGAAGAAGTAATTGAGAAGATCATCTCTAATGGGAAGAGGAGTTCTTAAGCAAAGCCATACAAGAGCACGGAAGAGGGAAAGTTCTAGAGATGGTGGCGGATATACAGGACAGGCACGATACTGCTAAAGATATCGAGAAGAGTCTACTGGAGCTGCACCAGGTGTTTCTGGACATGGCGGTGATGGTTGAAGCACAGGGAGAGAAGATGGACGACATAGAGCACCACGTGCTTCATGCTTCTCACTACGTCAAGGATGGGACTAAAAATTTGCAGACGGCAAAGCAATACCAGAAGAGCAACAGAAAGTGGATGTGCATTGGGATTATACTTCTCCTGATCCTAATCCTCGTAATCGTCATCCCTATTGCCACCAGTTTCAGCAGCTCTTGATTTAAAATTTAGGTTGGCTCCAGCCTCTAGGGGTGATTCTCAAGGCGTCTTGTTTCATTCTATATGACTCCGTTTCTTCAATACTGAGTTGCGCGACTCATCGTCGTTTAGTTGTGTTTGTGAAAAATTCAGCTCATTTTATTTAAGGCCTTCCCCGTGGCCATTTGGATTTCTGAATTTAACGTTGTGCTAATCCTTAATCCTGCTTTGGATGTTATAGAAAGGGAGTTTACTGAAAGGGAAATATCACTTTAAATCATTGGCCTTTATGTAGATTTTTTTGGTTTAATTAATTAATTCAGTCCATTTCGTTTGTGGCACACCGTGTCCTGTTTCCCACACATTTTTTATATGCTTCCCTGTTCTTTTATCGTCTCATAGTCCTTGAAAGGGAAATTAATCAATTACTATTATCAGAAACTACAATTTTTCTCGCACTTGTTAACGCGCCCATTTTCTGCCATGTCATGTCCAATACAGTATTAAAGCAAACTATTCTGTCTGAAGATTGTTCTGCTTTTAGACTATAATTTCCCTGATCCAGAAGACAGATCAAAACCAGACCAATTTATGAGGATGCTAGCATCGGGTTTGTACTTAGTATTGATTTTCTCTAGTTCTTTAAGATTTTATAATAAAAAATTTCCATGACATCTTCAAGATTAGACAACTGAAAATGTCATTATCCTCGAAACAAACAAATAAATAAACGAAAACGAAGGAATGAGAGTAAAGATAATGCTGTATACACTGCCCTTGTTAAACAAAGAGGAACAACACTGACCTTGTTAAAAAGAAAGAGGAACAACATTAATCAAATTGCAAAATCATCAAATTTAAATTTCCATTTCTATTTCATACGTCTCAAGGGCTAGCAATGAAGGAGCCAAACTCACAACTCAAATTGGGCTGTTCATCCAAGCCATTGGATTGAGCCGAACGGCAGATCCATCTGGTCAAGACCCAATAAGTCAAATCAGGCCTATTGTTGGTCATGCTTGAAAAACTTTTGCCAAAAATATACGAGTAAAACAGTCTAGAGAAATTCTTAAATCGGAGTCGTGATGGGGCTTATTTTTTAAAAAAGGTCAAGTTTATGACCTGTATCCAGACCGAATTACACAAGGCCTAGCCTGTAGAGTGTCTTGTTTAGCTTTATGTATGTGTATATACAATTTAATATTTAATATTTAATATAATTTAAACTAACTTCATTTAATTATTATTATTATTATTACCTTAAAATTTTTTAAATGTATTAAGTTTTAGAAAAAATATCCTTGCAAATTCTTATAATTTTAATTTAATTTCTTACAGTTTATTTTATTTTAATTGAGCCTTTATAGCTTGATAAGTTAAATTTTTTAATCCCTAAAAATTCAAATTCTTGAATTTAAAAAAAATAAAAATTTTTATATTTTTATCACATGATTATGTAATTTTAGAATTAATTGCATAATTTTTATAATTTAAAATTTATATAATTAGGTTGTTTTTTAAATATTTTTTATATTTATAGAATTTTTATTAAAAAATAAAAATTTAACAGTTTATTAAATCAATTGTTTTAATTTTTGATTAAAAATATTAAATTAAATTTTCTATAAACTCTCAAAGCATTTTTTTGGAAAATTTAATAATTTATTATTAATCTTAACCCTAAAGGATTAATATATATTATAGACTATTAGGGTTTTATTAAAATAAAATAAACTAAAAAAATCTGAATCATAATTAAAAAAAATTATAAGAATTTGTAGATTAATTCTCCCAAAATTTTATTCACAACCTTTGAATAACCAACCGCATCAACATCACCAGTCAAGGGAACCTCTCATTTTTCCATTGTCCTTCTTTTCACTCATTTTCTTTTCATCACCGATTTTTTAATAGTTATGATTTAATATCATTTTAAATAAAAAAATAACTTTGAACTACGACCGTAGAGAATCTTGAGTATGGTTGTGTTAAAAAAAAAAAAAATGAGAGCAAGGAAAATGGAGAGAGGTTTGTTATTATTCTCATAAATCTCATCTCAGGACTTCCTCCCTCCGTCGTGGGCGCCTCGGTGCCTCACCCGCTTGCCTGTACAGCACTCAATCGCTTCCTTCATCTCTCAATATCACAATATCCGCCTTCACGTCGGTCTCCCTCTCTCGCTTCGCCTCTCAGTCACCTACGACAAGTACTCAATCGCTTCCTCGGCCTCTGACCTCTCAATCTCCATCTTCGTCTCAATCTTTCCCTCTAGCTTAGCCTCTCAATTGCCTGTCTCTCTTGGCACTCAGTTACTTCCTTCACCTCTCGATCTCTCAATCTCCGGCCGTCACTCAAGGTTCACCCCCGTACGACTCCGTCCACTGCTTCATTAGCTTTTTGCTCGTGATTTGTATCTGGAAAGTCAGGAATCTCGCTTCATCTCAATCAGTCTATTGCTTCATGCACCGACATCATAACGTCTCAAGTCTAGACATCGCACAAATTTGAGGGGCAGTGATGATCAAACTGTTTGATGCCCACTGTCACCTGCAGGACTCCAGAATCTTTAGCAAGACCCCCCAATTAATCAAGGCTGCCCAAGATATTTGGGGTCGCTTGCTTTGCCGTTAATGGAGTTTCCGAGAAAGACTGGCACTTGGTTAAGGAGATGAGCGAAATCCATCCTTCTGTCATTCCCTGCTTCGGTCTTCATCCATGGTCATTTCTAGTATCAATCTCGTCTTTTTTGCTTCCTCATTCCGTTCCCTCTTTTTTTTTTCCGGTTAAGTTAATTCGGATGAGTAGAAAGGATTTGGGACTTCTCTATGTGCAGGTTTGTTGCAGAGAGGAGCCCCAACTGGTTCAAGACCTTGAAAGAATACTTTGACGCTACACCCTCTGCTGCAGTCGGAGAGGTACCTTTTTTTTTTTTCCGTTTAAAAATTCCTTTGTTGATTAATTTCCATGATTCTGGGGAAATGTAGAGTCCACTTGTAGTTGTGGATACTGCTCTTGTTGTCTCTCTGCAGTTCGGTTGCGTTGATGCCTGGCCTGTGCTTACCTGAAAGTATGTTTATTGATGTAAAAAAAAGGAGTTCCTAACTACGATTTTTGGGAACTTTATTTGTTGTGTTTAACATTTTCTCTCTCATTTGGATTACCAACGTATGATATTTGAGAATTCACTAAATAGAAATACTAATTAGTGAAAGCATGAGGCTAGCGACTGACAAAGTGGCAAGTTACATGTCTTTGTTTTTTATGGTAAAGAGATTAATTATTTTTCAAACTATACTTTTTGGATGTACCTAGGCATGCTTGGTTTCCAGCATTGCATACAAGCGTTAAAATCGATAGATGCTTTTAGGGCATTTGTGTGTGCGTAGCTGAGATTTCATATAGTGTTCAGATGAATTGACTGTAGCAGCGTGTGACACTCTGACTCTAGTATTATGTGCTCAACTGTTGTGATAGAGTGTTTATTTTATTTCAGATTGGTGTGGACAAGGGATCTCATGGAAGGCAGATTGATTTCACAGAGCAGGTTTTATCACCTCCAGTGTTTCATTATCCTCTTTTCTTTCAGCTGTCTGTGCAGTATTTTTCTTATTTTTTTCCCTTAGTGGTCTGGAACTCTTGATAGCTTCATCGGTTCTCTTGGAGCATAAGCTCCGATTTGGCTTTCTCTTCTCTTTCTTATATATTTATATCTGCACATAGAATACCTTAATAGGAGGTAGATTCTCCCACAGTTTAATAAAGATATGTAGGAAGTGGCTTCAGCCTTCATGTCCTGTTCCTTCCTTTATTTAAAAAATATTAGCCACATCGTTGCTAGTGTGTTACAACATCTCTGCAGGTTCAAGTATTACGGCAGCAACTTGAACTTGCAAAAGACTTGAACAAGCCAGCATCTGTACACTGTGTTCGGGCTTTTGGTGACCTTCTAGAGGTGATGAAGTATGAATTTTGATATTTGGTCTTTTCCTGTTTCTTTCAATTGTTAGCTGCCAAAAATTTCTTCTAAAGTGAATTCTCATTTTAAGCCTTCTAATTTACATTATTCCTTTAAAATGTCAAAATTTCCAGGTCCATTGGGCCTTTCCCTGCCGGTGTCATTCTTCATTCCTACCTAGGTTCTGCTGAGATGGTTCCTGAATTTTCCAAGCTTGGTGCTTATTTTTCCTTCTCTGGGTTCCTTATGTCGCTTAAAGCGAGCAAGGCAAAGAAAATGTTGAAGATGGTAATGTTCATAACCTCTGATATTTGATCATTTTTCCAATCTCTTGTATGTCAAAACTGTTAATGGTCTTAACTTCATTCCATTTAGGTACCATCTGGTAGGATTTTATTAGAGACAGATGCACCAGATGCTCTGCCGAATTCAAACATAGATTCTCTCTTTTTCATTGAAGGAGATGCTTCACTCTCTGAACATATACGTGGACAAGCAACTCCGTCAACTTCTAGCTCCTCCACAGATGCTTCAGTGTTGCCAAAAGAAACACTTAATCATCCAGCAAACATTCGCAACGTATGTGCCTTATATATCGTCTTTGTTGTTGTCTTATTTATTCTAAAGAAGCATACCTTTTTTCCATTATTCATGTGCTGATAGAATTCGAGTTTCACTGACAGTGATTACATCAAATTTTCTAACAGTTGCTTTATTGGAGATAACAATTTGTCCGCTAAAGACGAACACTTTTATCATATTTTACTCGTATGAAATGAATGTTTTGTGTTTCAATTATTGGGTGTAGTGTAGTGAATATCATTGTCAAGCAGGGGCCAATACTTTTATTTCGACATTGAGGTCTTCATTGTACATGCAGGTGCTTGATTATGTTGCATCCATGTTGGAGATTTCTAAAGAAGAACTTGCTGAACAAAGTTACCACAATGCAGTCCGCCTATTCTCATATGAAGGTTCCAAAGTCCTTCAAATGTAAACAAAATCAGGACGAGGTTATAGTCTTGTAGATTGATCCAAGAGTTCTTGTACTGCTTTTATATGCGAGTAATCTGTCAGATTTAGTTAGCTGCAAGATGTCAATTATTCATGCTGGTAATGCCAATTAATTAACCACAAAATAAAGAGGACAGTGAAAGAGGAATATGCGAATGTTTAAATATAAACAAAAGTGCTTCATATTGGTTAAATAAATTACATCAACCCTGTTAATGGACTAGCGGTATTTTGTTTAATATTTGTATGCAAGCATTACATGACAGTTCAGATGTAATTGAATCAATCAATACAGTATTGATGACAAGCTTCAAAATTTACATCAATTTTTGATCAATTTACAGATAGTATAAGTTGCGTTTCAAATATTTCTTCGTAAAAAAACTGTTTCCACTTCAGCTGATTGCATGACAAAAAGGATATTCTAAGTTTAACTGATAGCGATTATTCTTTTTTTTTTTTTTGGATTGAATTGAAAATGTTAGTGCTTGTTTGGATAGGCTCCATAATCAATTACATAATTCTAAGACCATGGCTTTAAGGGGAGCACATTCGTTGCTCATCAAGGGTGATGAACACTGTGCTCATTGCTCCTAATGAATTTGAACCGTTTAGATTTAATTTGGATGGATGGTCTAGATTAGACTATTTGTTTTATTTTTTAAATAAAAATTTATAAAATTTTTAATAAATATATTTATTATTAACATGTACCATTTATATTTAATTAAATCAGTCTAAATTTAATATTAATTTTTTATAAATGTTTATAAATTAACAATATAGATTTATTTTAAACTGTTTTGAATCTGACAACATAACAAAATAAAAATTTTGAATCTAAAAAGTATAGACTAAATCTGTATGATTAATTTATAAAAAATTAATATTAAATTTAGACTCGTTTGATTAAATATAGGTGGTACATGTTAATAATAAATATGTTTATTAAAAAAATTTATAAATTTTATTTAAAAAATAAAAAAATAATTTAATCTAATTTGGATGATTCAGATTCATTGAGGGATGATAAGCATGCAGTGCTCATCACCTCCAATGAACATTAAATGTGCTCCCAGTTTTAGAGGGGGAACCCATTTCAAAATGGAGTGAAATTATTATTTTTGATAGGAGGAGGGTGACATTTGCATCAATTCAATGCATATCCAAGGGGAGGACTTTGTGGCAAAAGGATGAAGCATGAAAAAGACGATAAACAAGATATAGAATTTTGTAACAAATGGATGAGAACATATTAGAATGAGCAAGAAGACATCTCAACTTAAGGAGAAAAATATTGGAGATTGTAGACAGTGGGCACAACAAATTAGTAAGACAGGTTGAACTTAGACACCTGCAGTTGAAGAAAGATTTACACCCAATCAAAGTTTGAGTTTTAAAAAAAGATGATAGAGGCTTTGAATCTGCAAGCCACACAATCAAGGGTGTATTTGGGAGGTTAAAATTAAGATAAATAATAATAGATTCAACCGTGATAATCGATCATGAAAAGCTGGTAAGATGAGCTTATCCCAAAATGGAGTTCAAAGCGTAGAATTGATTTCTTAAAAAAAGAGGGTGTTTGGATTTTTTTTTCTTCCTAAAACCATGATTTAGGGGGCATAGTCAATTAATCTAGCAACTCCAAATGGTTCAATTGTGTCAAAATCAACTTAAAAAAAAAATACCCAAACATAATTGTGTTATAACATAATTAATTATAATAAATCAATCATATTGATCAATTTTTTTTTATAATCAATTATATCCAATTAAAATTCAAATGTGTCTTTAATTTTTTATTATAATTTTTTATTAATTTAAAGAGAAACAAATAGGGAAAGAGAATGAGAGATTTCAAAACAAAGCTTATTCACTTTTATTTATCTGTCTGGATTTATAAAATCTTACTGCAAAAGATTTAGTAGTTTTTTTTTTTTTACTGAACAAAAGTTTTTTTTTGAACTGAAGAGAAGTAGATTTTATTGCTCTAATCACTCTTTTATCATGCCATTTGATGCACCAAAGCTCAAGTATAAAAGGTAATGAACATTAGAAAAATACTAATTTTTGTAATTATTTTCTTCTCGTTCTCATTTAATAATTGCAGCAGACATTACTAAGAAAAAAAGCCCAAAAAAATTAAAAAAAAAGAGTTAAAAAGGTTAAAAAAAACAAAAAGGAAGGGCGAATCCATCGGTGATCATTTACCATTACGAGCTAAAAAAGTTGGGCCGTGCATGACAATTTAGCCTATAAAGAGTTCGAAGAACTGCGAAGAAAATGTAAGTCTCTCACCGGGATCTGAGAGAAGTTTTGACCGAAAAATGACTGATCGGAGTTCGTAATCGTAGAACACAAACATTTGCTTCCCCATACGCCACATATAACCAAATAAATAAATAAACAAATAAAAAGTCAACGATGTAACCTTGCGTCCATTTCAATCAAAGGCGGAATTGGTTAGGCGTAGAAGCTATCCCATTTGTTGATGAAATCAAAGTATGATGTTTGTGCTTGCTGAAGATCATAGTTTAGAGGGTTGAGAAGTAGCAATGATGAAACTGTTCGATTCACACTGCCACCTGCAGGACCCCAGAATCTTAAGCAAGGCACCCCAACTCATCAATACCGCCCAAGACATTGGGATCGTCTGGTTTGCCGTTAATGGAGTTTCCGAGAAAGACTGGCACTTTGTTAAGGACATGAGCCACACTCATCCTTCTGTCATTCCTTGTTTCGGTCTCCATCCATGGTCATTTCTATTATCAATCTCCTAACTTTACTCCTTCAATGCTTTTTGCCTCTGGTTTAAAGTTATTCGGCTGTGGATCCATGAATTGTAAGTTCTCTACCTGCAGGTTTATTGGAGAGAGGAGCTCCAATTGGTTCAACACCCTCAAAGAATATTTTGACGCTACACCCTCTGCTGCAGTTGGAGAGGTATCCCTTTCTTTCCATCCCTTTGAGGTTTGCCTAATTAGTAATTACATTTGCTACAAGAAATTGGAGTTGCTTGCTTTGTATTCAGGAGAGGATTGCATTAAAAAAGAAAGAAAGAAAGAAACTCTTGTATGGACTATATTCATGTAAGCTAGTAATGATGATTGTTGATTGGCCCCCCAAATATATATATATATATATATATCTTGACTGAAAAGGCGTGTTCAAGATTGACTCGTTAGATGGAAGTTTTCTTACAATGATTTCCTGGGACTTAATTACTGTAAGCAATGTATAACTCTAGTATTATGTGCTTGACTTTCGTTGTGATATGAGGTCTGTCCCCCCCCCCCTTTCTTTTAAGGGTGATATGCAATGTGAGTGTTTAGTTTATTATATTTCAGATCGGTGTGGACAAAGGACCACTTGGAAGTCATTCTAATTTCTCAGAGCAGGTTTTTCCTTCTCTTTTCTCTCAGTTGTTTATGGAGTGTTTTTCTCTGTGGTCTTCATAGCTTCGTCATCATGGCTCTTGGAGCAATCCATGAATGCACCTATTTGATTTTCCCTTTCTTAAATATGTATATCTGCATATAATTACTTCAATAGGAGAGTAGATCCTGTCAAAGGCCCAATGAAGTTGTATATGAAGTGGTTTCATGTTGTATCTTCCTACATGCAATTTCTGTGGCATCGTATTCCCGAAAAAAAAAAAGTGGTTTCATGTTCCATTCGTACCTTCTTTTAAGATATCGGCTAGACTGTTTCTTCATGCATCAGTACATCTATTTAGGTTGAAGTATTGCGGCAGCAGCTTGAACTAGCAAAAGAGTTGAACAAGCCAGCATCTGTCCACTGTGTTGCTGCTTTTGATGACCTTCTTCAGCTAATGAAGTATGAATACCAATATCTCATATTACAAAACTTGGTTCATCGTCAATGACATTTTGGTGATTATTCAAATGCAGAACTTTCTTTCCAAATGAGATTTGATTAAGTCTGCAAAAGAGAGTTCTCTTGTTACCATCAGTTTAACAAATAGAAGATGCATTCTATGACGTACTTCTGATGGTGTTCATTTGTTTCTTGATTTCTTGCTTGCAATTTTGAAGTCCATTGCACTTATCAGCTTGAAAGTGTAGATGTTTATCCCCCCAATTTTGCTTCTGCAAACGCCAGGCTATCAGATTGTGCGAACAGATAGAGTGGACTTTGCAAGTGTTTCATTTTATGAGATATGATATTAGGAGGATAATGCTTCTCCACAGTATGACATTGATAGGGAGGAACAGTGCTCCCAAGTTTGTTGTGCATTTATTATTGAATGAGATTATGTCAGTCGTATAAGGACGACCTTGCTAGTAATTCAACATTGATCATTTTGTCACTGAACTTTTGAAGCACATTTCCAATTCCTAGTTATCTGTTAGTCTTCTAACGTGAAGTGTCATAAAAATTTCAAAATTTCCAGGTCCGTCGGTCCTTTTCCCGCTGGTGTCATCCTTCATTCGTACATAGGTTCTGCGGAGATGGTTCCTGAATTTCACAAGCTTGGAGCTTATTTTTCTTTCTCTGGTCACCTTTTGTTTCTAAAACCAGACAAGGCAAAGGAAATGCTGAGGATGGTAATTTTCTCCAAGGTCATATGATCAAATTTGATTTTTGTTATATTATATATGGCAAAACTAAGTATTTTCTTAATTCTGTATTCTATATAGGTACCATCTGATAGGATTTTACTGGAGACGGATGCCCCAGATGGACTTTTGAGGTCAAATAGAGATACTCTCTTTTTCGTTGAAGGAGATCCTTCTCTCCCCCAAGAACTTGGTGGCCAAGCAACTCCTTCCTCAAACCTTGGCTTCTCAATTGATGCTTCAATGTTGCCAAAGGAGACACTCAATCATCCAGCAAACATTCGCAACGTAAGTGGCCTATGTCATCATCTTCCCCATTGTCTTGCATATTCGAAATAAGCACACCGTTTACTAAATCCCCTGCAGAACGAAGTTGAGTTTCAAGAATAGTGATGATTCCATGCGATTTTCCAGGATTTAACTTGTATGCTTGAATACATCAACACGTTTGCTTCACAGTTGGTGTGTGTAGTACACATCACGAAAAGCAGGGGATAATAGTTTTATTTAGGTTCTCAGATTTTCAACTTCACGTGCAGGTACTTGATTACGTTGCGTCCATGCTGGAGATTCCCAAGGAAGAACTTGCTAAATTGAGTTACCAGAATGCTGTCCGCCTATTCTCATATGGAGGCTCCAAACTACTCCAAACGTCCACAAAATTATAACAAGAGGTTTAGATTGTACGTACCAACAGTTCTTGGATTGAACCGACATGTTAATGTGTGAGGTGAGGTTTGCTTGTCTGTCAAATTTGGTTGTCTCATTCTAAGAAGGATGTAGGTGTGGGACAGGGTTAGTGAATATTAATGTCAATAAATTAATTACTTGGGGGCAAGGAAGCATGAAATTAAAGCGTGAATGTCAAATACCAGACACAATTCCTTTCACATTTTTAAGTTGACAGTAGCTCATGTGAGGGGTTCATGGATGAGTTGGTTGATCACAGGGTTTGAATCAACTAGAAAGGATTGGTTTAGTTTAACCAAAAATCTCAAATTCACGTTGTGAGAACATAGCAACGTTAAGTCTTATAGTTTGAGTGGAGCAGGCTCAGCATACTGGATGCTCACGCAAAGAAAAAAAAAAAGATGAGTAAATAGATAAGTATAATATTAAAAAAAGACTATTTTTTCAGACACAAAATTGTGTTAATGTGTACTTATTCTCATCCATGGATTATATTCTTGATTTTCGCCAACATCCATTGATTATATTCGACAATGCAGGGAGTGTAAATTTATTGAACAATCACTTAAAAATTCATCTAGAGATAAATATTCAATTTCTAACTCGTCGGTTTCTTAACAAGATTTCTATGGACATATATCTTAATTTATACACATTTTTCAATATTGAAGCAAGAATCGTATGAACGCGATCTCTTAATTAATAATATTCCTAAAAGCTTGATAAATGATAGAGCACAATAGAATCTTACAATTCATATAACCGACCCCACTTAATGAAATAAAGGCTTGTTGTTGTTGTTGAAGCAAGAATCGTATGAGCCTGACTAGCGTATTAATCTCTTCTCCCCCTTCCAGTAAACAAAGATTGGCATACCTTGCAGATATTTATTATTGAAAGCGTATTTCAGAAGAACTTATCCAATTAATCGTACAAACCAGTATGAAGAAATTAAAAACCTTCCCATCACCAGCACGCAAGTCATGCACAGTGCCTTTGACTTGGCGCGATAAGAAGCTCCGCCTTTGTAGCGGCTGAAAATCTGCAAATACCAAGTACTATATGTTTCTTCTTAGCATTCTTATGGCTAATTCCACAATTAAAACCAAGGATTATCATCGTCCCAGTACCAGTAATGACATATTTTGATATTTATAAAACTTGCATACACGTAAATATATGGAAGAATTAATCAGGAGTTGTTCAGCTGATAATCTGATCAATTCAAGAACTCAAGGAAGAATTTGAGGAACTTTTGCATTTCAGTAGGAGGAAGAGCCACCAAAACGTTAACCCCAGAACCAGTACTTTCACCCTCATCATCTGGGGGGAAAAAGAGTATAATATCCTTCCTGTGATACACCACCGGGCAGCTATACTTGGGCTTTCCCCATGGATACTCCACCTCTGCAAACCCTAATCTCCACCACGACGACACCAGCACCTCCCCATTCGGAAACCCATGGTACAATTCTCCCCAGTCTATCACCGATCTTGCGTACTCATCTGTCATTCTCATCGCCCCTTCACTCACCATCTCCACCAACCGGCCAAATGGCCCTCGCTCCAATTCCTCACGCTTGGCCGTCGCATATGCGGTCAACACCGCGTTTCCAGCGTAGGCCTTAGGCAGTGGAGGGTTCAATCGCGACCTAATATCCACCGCATATAGCATAGTCGAGGACCGATTCGGATCATCTCCCGCGGATAACGCCTTGCACCTCCACACGAGAGCGGTGACGACGTTGAAGCCGGTGATGCGGGCGGCTCCGGTGGCCTTGGACTTGGCCTCAGCCTTAAGGTGGTTGATGTTGTCAGCGGTTAAGCGGAAGATCTTGAAATCGAGATCCTCGGAGGAGGCTTCGAAGACTCCAGACTCGGGGCCCGTGGCGGGGACATTACCAAGGCTGAGCAGCTCGGGGTGAGGGAAGGCGACACGTGGAGGCGATCGAGCGGCCAGGAGATGCCTGTCGTGACAAGGGGTCACAGCCAAGGGCCTGTTAGCAGCCAAAGCAGCGAGGTTGTCCAGGAAGGTCTTGAAGGAAATGCCGTCGAGCGCGGTGTGGCTCGTTGAGATCCCAATTGCAAAACCCCCACAGTTGAAGGACGTCACCTGCAATGAAGCGACATAATTAATTAGTTACTATGGTTGCTCAATTCTCATTGATGTTTAACAAATATTATCTGCTGCCTTGACATGACGTGACGTTATTTATCCTACTCTTAATTTCCCTATGATTGCTCAATTCATTCATTTCTTGCTGATACGTGCTCCCAGCCTCCCACGGCATTGAGAGCTTCAACTGGCACAGCTGATTTTTCCGCTTTCCAATTAGCGCGCGCGCTCGCGCATTTATATCCAGAGAGAGAGAATTTCATAATGGGTTGCATAAATTATGGGAACATTATCTAAATATCGATCACATAAAATTAACATGCATTACCACCACATTATTTGAACTCGCCAGTCACAACCTTTCCTTCACACCCACGGTATTGTGCGAAATAATTTGCTACTGCTAATTAAAGGGTGAATTATTGATGGAATTTTAATTTCATGCCTCTGTTTTAATTTCCATTATTTTTCTTCCCATTTAAATATATTTTTTAAATTTTCTTTTCTATTTGTCCTCCCTTACTTTTCCCTGTTTGCCTTTTCGTGTATCTAGGGGAGAGACCGGTGAAATATTAAATAGAGTCAGCAGCTTCATGATTGGGAGATTGGAATGTTCATAGTCAGCACAGCATGTCCATGCCTCTATGGGAGAGTCTTTCCGTTTTTCTTCCTCTATTTCTCCAATACCTATCATTTAAATTATTTTATTAAATAATTTTTTAAATAATAACATTAATAAATGATGAAAATAAGGAAAATGAAAAGAAAAAAAATGAAAGAAACCCCAAATCCATACGTCTGTACCATCAAAGCATGAGTTGAAAGAGACGTGGGGCGAAAAATTTCTGCAATTGGTTTCCTTGCTCATCATGATCGCTGCTGCTTATGAGATCTCAACTATCTATGTCTAATTTAGATAGTTTAAATTTAATTTTTTAAATTTTTATTTCATACCCCTTTATTAAAATATAAGGCATTTTTAATCGAATTTAGCTTCTCAATAAAGTAGCTACCTACTTTAAGATTAATATTATCTTTTCATATTTACTTTTATTGAATACCCTATAATAAATATAAAGTTTTTATCATTAGGTACACTTTAAAAAAAAGTAATGATTACACAATAAAGAATTAAAAATGCTTTATATTTTTAAACATTCAACTCTTCAAAAAATGCTTTATATTTTTTAACGAATAGAGTATTTATTACAAGAGATCATAAAAGTTAAAATTAGAATGAAGGACAAGATAAGTGTAATTGAATATTATAATTTTAGTATAAAATATGCTAAGTTTAAAATTAAGCAGGATATTGTCCAAGTTACAAAAGCAGTCTTTTAAAAATAAAGTTGTGTAATTTTCAATTTGACACCCCTGAAAATAGTAGTATTAAATTTAATTAAAACAATATAATTTTAAAAAATATTTACTTTTAAATAAGTAAATCAGTATAATTTTTTAAAAAGCTTTACTTCCAAAAATTAAATTAATTTAATTTAAAAATTTTACTTTTAAAGAATTGTTTAATTTTGCCAATGAGACATTGTCTCAATCTCTGGATTTTTGAATTTTTAAGAGAGATAATAGCATTAACTTGTTGCGGTTCTTGGGCCTTAATTTAGTTTTGTTTTATTTGCTGCGTTATCTCCTTGTCATATAAAAAAATAGCTTTCTCTCAAATAATACATTTTTAATAACTGTCCCCTTGTTTTAAGGAGGTATGATTAGGGATAATATAGTATTTTTAAAATTATATTTTGACATTCGATCCTTCAAAATAATAACTATTTTTAAGATCCTCTACAATAAATATTATTTTTTAAGTCCATTGTTATAATTTCCGTTAAAAATTATAAAAAATTTTAATAAATTTTTTTTATCATTATTCATTACTAATTTGGATAATTCAAATTTAATTTATATGATCTAAATTTATATTAATTTTTTTAATAATTTTTATAAATTGATCATCCACATTTACTCTGAACAGTTTAAATTTGAAATTTTTATCTTGTAATTTTTTAATTTTTTTCATAAAGTGCTAGTTAGGAGATTATATTTATTTTTAATATTATATTTATAAAAATATATAATTTTGAAGATTATAAAAAACTTAATATTAAATCTGAACTATTTAAAAAATATTTGGAGAGTTAATTTTATTTAAAAATATAAAAATATTTAATGTTAAATCGGATCATCTAGGCTAAGTATGTATTGTCCATATTAATAATGAACATATTTATTAAAAAAATTTATAATTTTTTAAATTTATATTTTAATAAATATAAAATTAAAAAAGTTTTAAATTGGATGGTACAAATTTCATTAAGGGCAATGAGTATCGTGATATTCATTTATTTAATGAGAGCATCAAAGCCAATCCCAAAATTTCTCGAAATCATTGAATCCCTCAAAAAAATACATTATTTATGTCGTTCAAAAAAGGGCATTATGATCTTAGAACTGACTATGCATGGCTAGAGCTGGTAAAAAGGGCCAGCCTGGCCTTACAGGGCCGGCCCTTGAAGAGCTTGGGCTTAAAAGGGCTAACCTTTTAAGCCTAAATTTTCTTTAGAATTCTGATATTTAAAGCTTGGCCCTTGACATAGCGGGATCAGGCTGGCCCTGCGGGCTTTAGGCCTTTTTAACTATTTTTATTTTTTTTTAATTTTTAATCAAATAAAAAATTACTTCATTCTAATATAATACTTAATCAAGAAAGGTACAAAAAAACTAACTAAATAATATCTAAATGAACTAAAAAAATAAATAAAATAATAGCAATGCAATAAGCAATGGATCGGCTAAGCCGACAAACACTCAATCAAAATTAGAAGAGTAAATGTTGAACTGAATGAATTATTATCATGGATCTAGATGAATTAGGGGATTTAAGGTTGTATTTTTAAAAAAAATAGTAGCTAAGGATTTCTGTATGAAATTTATATCAATTAAGAATCAATTGTTGTCAAAACCTGAATGAAAAATAAGCTACAATGAACTATTGTTAATTTAAAATGAGTTGTTATTAAAACCTAAATGAATACTTATTGATAAAGGCTAATTCGAATCCACAAGTATCTACTCGAATTTTGACAACAAGTGATCCTTGACTGATATAATTTTTTATCAGTGATTCTTCATTGCTATTTTTCCTTCTTTTTTTTTTGTCTTCCATCCTCAGCAAATATGGGCTAATATGTGATGTGGAGTAAAATTTAATTTAATTTTTTTTTCAAATCTAAAAAGAGTGAAAATTATGAGAAGTAATTAAAAAAAATGCATATGCGGGCTTAAATAGGCTAGCCCTCGGCCCTGCAGGGCCAGCCCTTTTACGTCCTAAATTAAACTGCCTTAAACGGGCTGTTTATGCCCAATTTATTATTTTGAAGTCCTATTTTTAAGCCTGGCCCTACTCTTATACGGGCTTAAATGAGCTAGCCCGACGGGCTCGGCCCGTTTTCCTGACTCTATGCATGGCTGGCGAGCCGTAGACGGATGTTTTTGACAATTCAAACAATAAAAAACTGGAAAGTCAACATGCACTTATGAAAGAATAAGATAGGCGTTAATTAACTTTATAAAAAAATTTTAAAATTTAATAAATTTTTAACTTTATTTCTATTAAATATATATATATATATATATAATTTAACAACACATTTTTTCTCCAATATTTAATAAAAAATAAAAAAAATCGTAATACAAAATTTAATGACATGATTTATAAATAAAATTAAAAATTTTTTTTTTCTCTTCTTTGTAAATAAGATCAAAGAGAGTACTAATTATGCCAAACTAGTTTCCATATTCATTGTACAAACGAGTACTAAGTTCATCATTTTTAAATTATTCAAATTTAATGTAAATGATATTCCTTTCATTAAAAAATATAATATATTTTTTGAAGAGTTGAATGTTTAAAAATATAAATCATTTTTAATCTTTCGATGTATAATCATTATTTTTTTTCAAAAATATCTCTATGAATAACGACTTTATATTTATTGTAGGGTGTTTAATAAGAATAAATATAAAAAAAATAAATTAATTTAAAAGTAGGTAATTATTTTATTGAAAGTGAGATTTAGTTTAAAATGCTTTATATTTTTTAATAGAGAAATTACAAGTTTATAATTTTTTATTTTTTTAAAAAAATTATTTTAATGAATACACAATCTAAAATAAAGGTTTTTTTAAATAATTTTTTATTTAAACAATACCCATTGAACAACTGTAAATCTAGATAAAAAAAATTAAATCTAAACAATCTATACGCGATAAGTGGTTCCCTAATTATACAAGACGTCAAAGTAAGCCCTACCCCATGGCCCGCCCGCACAATTATAGAAATATAGCATGCAGATGAACAAAACTAACCCTCTTCGCATGCAGTGTCACAAAATAATTAAGACTTTAATCAAAAGAAGCAAGTGCATCTGAAAGGATCGAGAGGATGTTTATCGTACCTGGAGAACACACAGTGGCTGATCACCTGGTTTGAGAAAATCCCTTGGTCTTATGAACTAGCTGAGCAAAAGCTGGATTAGGATAAACCAAGTCTCCTATCTCATCAAGCTCCAAGTCACTTGACGCCACCACAAACCCAGCTCCGGCACCGTTGCAGTCTATCTCCAACCGACCCGTTTCAGAACTGAGCTTCAGTCTTCCGGCGAAGAAGTCATAAGCCACCAAAGCATCGGCCAGAGCCCTCTTCAACTTGTCGGCTGCAGCTTCCGGAGGGAAATCCTTGTGGGATGCAAAGAAGTGGACAGTCTCAACGTCGAAATTGAGGACTTTATCTATGTTGGACAAGAACAAGGACTTTCTCTGCGTTTGTTTCGATGGAAAAACCAAGGACGATTCGTGGATCCTCACCTTTAGATCTTGAGGCAAAGGAGGGACTTCTTGGTAAATGGCTCCCATCTTCTTCGTGAATAGAAACTGTTCAAAATGTGAATAGGTGCGTGTTGCGCTCTCGCCTTTGCTGATCTAAAAACACACGCACACACACTTGGAAAACTGATGAGAATGGCTCAGATTCCGACACGAAATCAAGTGAGAGAAGATGGAATGATGATATCAAAAAAAGACAGTGAATGGCACACGGAATAGGGTTGGCATAGAAGGCATGTAAGTGTAGAGTAGTGAGAGAGAAACAAGTGTCAGAAAATGCAGGGTGTAAGGAGATTATGTTTGTGGACTGAATGAGCATGTTGAGAGGTTAATAAAGAAGGTGGTTGGTTAGTAGGTTCAGAAGATAAAAGGACAGGGTGTGGGAGTGCAACGGTGTGTAATGAAGGCTAAAATTGTTAGGTGGATGCAATGGAGTGGTGATCCATGCATTTTCCCATAATACATCAATACTTGCCGTCCGTACTTTCTATCTCTTTAATGCTCATTCATCAGTTTCAACCCAGTCTAAAAGTCTAGGTTCTCACGAGATATATAACTGGATGTGATTCTTATCTCAAGTCTGTTCACTCTTCTGTCTCCTCGAGTCCTGTAATTAATTTGGTGTTAGATCCAGTTTTTGCATCTCACATTTCTCTTTTCTTTTTCATTTCTAGAGCCAGCTATAAAGAAATCAGGCAACATAATAATGAACTCACAGCAAAGATATAAGAAAATGTATTTGAAAATTCAAGGTATGAAGATTTGAAAAATTAGGATAAAGCGTTCGTTGGTTTCGCAGAAGTTACAATATTCTAGTCATTTCTCAATTTCCTGCTGTGTCATACGCACGTGGTAAATATTATAAATAATTATAGTTTCATTGCACCAATCTAAAGCTGTTAAATATTTTGAAACAAAGTCAACATTTTGAAGTAAGGCTGTGCAAAAGTTCCCAATCCTATCTAATTTAGTCTTATTTGAGATAGTCTAGTTCTATTCAGTCCGTATAAACTTTAGTCCTTCAAAATCAAAAAGATTGAAAAAATTTGATTTTTTCTTTAGGTTGGATGAGACAGAAGACTAGATATCTGGACCACTTGATCCTATTAATTTATTTAATATAATTATAATTAATTTATTTTTGACAAATGTTTTAAGTGTAATTGATATTGAAGAGATGATTGCTTGAAAATTTGTTGAGTTTGTTTTTAAATTGTTGTTGTAATGTAGTGTTGTTGAAGTTTGTTAAGTGTTATTTTTGTTGAAGATGTAAATTTAAATCATTTGCACTATAATTGAAATATTTTTTTCTTATTGTTGGAAATTATTATGAATTTATTATGATTATAAGTATTTTTATTATCTTAATTGAGTTTATTAAGTTAAAATGAATTATTGCCTCTTATAGAGAAAAAAAAAGCTAAGTAAGTACTAGATTAATAGGATTAGTCTTTCAATTCTATAGATCAAGTCAAACCTTGTTAATAATTATCACTGGATAAGATTAGACTAGATTATAAGTTGTCTGACCCAATACTTTTCATGAAAGAGATCAGACTTTGGGTTAAGTCAATATCCAATATCTTTTAGTCTTTTGTGCAGCCCTATTTTGAAGTCACATACTATAGAAATATTAATGATCATACAATCTTTTTACTACAACTAAGAAATTCAAAATTGACAAATGTTAAGGAAAGTACTTAATCCAGTTTCTAGCTAGCACCCCGCCCAGCACGCACACACGCAAACACACAGATCTGGGAAGCCCAATTAGCGTACGCAAGAGGATAGAATCATCGAATAATTCAGTTAAATTTCAACCCCATTCCGCCACCACACATAAGTGCACTGCGAGCCTTTTGCATGCGGGCATTGTTGATCGAACTCAAATTCTATATATCCATTTCCCTTGCCTTCGATTATTTACTTTCAGTCTGAAATCTGAAGCACCTGTTTAATTGATCTCTTCCTCGTGTGCATTCCCAGAAGTAGGCCGAACCTATAATTACAGCAGCTCCGTTTACAACCAATATTTCTGGCTAACTAATCATCACTTCAAATTTTATTCTTGAAAAACACCAAACTCATTCCCTTGAAAAAGAAAGAAATTAATGGTTGAATGGCCAAATAAGCGTGGACGTGTTTGGGCCAGACACAGCGTGGGGGAGGGGGTCCTCATAAAGGCATCACTCCATAACTCTCTGGAAATGGAGACTTGAACAATGATGACCTTTCAAGAGAGACCATGAAAAGCACACCAGATTAGGACGTTCGCCCATATGACATTAATTGTACCCCCAGTTCCTAACTACATTTTCCGGCTTTTATATTTCCACAGTTTTCCTTCAAATCCACCCCTTAATGCAAGACTGATGGCTGTCATTACTTGGATTTCCATAAATGAGAAATGGCCGCTTTCACGTCGTCCAATTGTGACATTTAAACCCAGCACGGCATGTACATTTATACAAGCTTTAGGCCCCATCAGCCCTTGATACATTTCCATACCATGCACAGTCACTTCGTCGCAGATGTCTATAAAATATATTATTACAATATCCAATGCGCTAAGTATGGACTACATCTTGCCAAATAATCCTCATTACATTTGCCAAATATAGCTTTGAAACTCCACTTCAGCTGATGGTTAGGTTCTGTGGCCATTAAAAGCGCTGCTTCTGTAGGTTTCTGCGTTCAAAGCCTGTAAAGTTGAGTGTGTTCAGGTCCACAAACACTAAATCTTTCCCTTTTTTACTTTTTATGGGACTCAAGGGGTCCGTCTTCGTTGCTCGTCCCTGCACCATCACCTTGATTTAGATTGTCCAGATTAAAAAATTAAACAGTTTAGATGTGAAGTTTTTTTTTATTTTGTATTTATTAAAATAAAATAATTAACAATTTTTTAACAAATATTTTATCATTAATCAGGATAGTACAGCTTTAATTCAGATGGTCTAATTTAATTTTAATATTTTTATAATTTTTACAAGTTATATATCCAAATGTATTCTGAACATTTTATATTTATCATAACTTTTTTAATAAACAAAATATTAAAAATAAATATAATATCTTAACCAATACTTTTCTTTTAAAATATATTTTTTAAAATAATTATTCGTTAAAAATTTTAAATTTGAATAGTAAATTTATAAATTTAAAATATTAATATTAAAATTCACAATTCAAATTGAATCTAGACTGTTTAGTCATTGATAAACAGATTTATTAAATTTTTTATAATTTTCTATTTTATTTAATAGAAAAAAATAAAAAATTTAAATCTATACCATTCAAGTGAGATTTTATTAGTTGAGCGCTAAAGATGGCTCCGGATTGAAAATAATAAATCTGTGGTTCTCCCTATCTAGCAAGCACATAACGAATACACCATACCGGTGCACGATTCATAAGGGTCCCATGCATGTTTAATTCCAATTGCCAATTGCGTCTGGCTAAATTGACGGGAGTACTATACACAGCAAGTTTCATTGCTTACTATTCTATGGAATAGTATCATATATATATATATATATATCCATATAATTTACAAGTTGTATCTACTTATAGCTATAGATGTATGAAGTGTGCAAGCTGAGTGACGCATTAGGCCTGCAAATAATTTTATGGTTTAAGTGATTTGCACCGGGCTACATGTTTCATCACGACGTTGCACAATGTTTAATGATATTTTTATTTTGAAAACAATCACATATTTATTTATTCTGTCATTGCTTAAATATCATTATCATTCCGGTTAAGTGTATGGTTAATACCCCAAGCTCCGTGTCGCTGGTACAGTCGCTCTCATAATGATCATTAAGACCGCCGCCAAGAGTATAGCAGTGCAAGTAAATTAGTTTTTCCTCTGCCCCAAAACCAGAAAGGTGCAAACATGTTTTGATGGAGGCAGATCCAAAACATCTAAACATGTAGATTGTGGCTATAATTCTCCCTGGTATATATCAGCTCCTTCCAAACATGGACGATGACTGTACCTAAGAACACGGGCCACCACTTCGATTGCTTAGAAATGCAACTATACATGCATCACCAAAAATCTTAAACTATTCTTTCAAATATTCTTCTTCTTCCAAATTAATTTCCAATGAGCCAAATTTTGTTGAAACTTTAACAGATCGATAAATTCGGATTAATATCCGCAAGTCACTTCTGTCATTCCTTCATAGAAAATCACAAGCCAACTAGCAGATCTGGTCCTCATGTTCTTAACCTGATGGTTTTGAGTTCGATAGATGGGTCCAAAACTGCACACATGCAAAATATAAAATCAGGTATATATATGTAAAATCTTGAGCAAGCAAAATAGATGAAAAAAAAAATAATTTTTATGCTGCCATGATTATGCAGAACTATGCCTGGAAATCTGGAATTGGGGTCTACAGACATGTTGGGGGAACTTTCGGGTCACATTTTTAGAATGATGCGCGCGCGCTAAAATACCAAGCTCATGAAAACAGGGCAGATCTGCGTAAAGTGCTACACTTGGACTTACTCCTGAAAAGTCAAAGTTGACCCTCGGACAAAATTTGGCGGGTTTGAATCATGAACTTAACCGTCTACTCCAAATCTCTGATGGGAATGAACTGTCAAAAGACCCCACTGGCTAAAAGGTAAGGTTTTTGTTGTTAGGTGCAACAAATATAAATTGACTTGCCTTCTTTTTGGTGGCATCTCTGTATGTATTACTTTAAGAAAGTCACGGCTTTTTCTTGCATTTCACATAAAGGTATTCGACAATATGCTGTTTGGTTTTATCTTCTTGTGATTTAACGACTGAAGATCAAGGTGTGCAAACATGTTCGTAAAAAAAAAAAAAAGAGTGAACATACACCGAGTTCATGCAAGAAAAATGAAGGAAGAAAATAAACAGAGAATTGTGGTTCTGTGTTGGGGCAGTGGGGCCGCGACGTTGAAACCCCGATAGAGCTTCTGAATTATAACCTTGCCAGAATATGACGGCGAATACGGAGGTTAACGCATTAGCCTTCAACTAACAGCCACAGGAAGTGTTCGCCTAAAATCATAGTCTAAATAATATTCAATATTGCTATCTTTAAAAGTTATTGTATCAAAAAAGTTCTTCTGTTACACCAATTAATTGTGCGGCAACTTTCTAAAATTAAAACATACTCTTATTGGAAATGTAAGGACACAAAACAAAATAAATTTACAGAATAAATTCAAGCACCATCACAAATGAAGTAGTACGACAGAAAAGGAGGAAAAGTTCAAAGTTCAAAAGGCTCATCCAAAACATATTAC